AAAACTCGCTTACCATCTATATCTTAGCCATTGTCTACAACAATTATTTATAACTATTTTTCTTCACGAAAGTCTATAACTATTCTTCTTCACAATTTTCTATAACTATTCTTCTTCACTATTATCTAAAACTATTCCTCTTTACCATTATCTATGACTATTTCTCTTTACCATTATCTATAACTATTTCTCTTTACCATTATCTATAACATTCCTCTTCACCATTATGTATAACTATTCCTCTTTACCATTATCTATAACTACTCTTCTTAACTATTATCTATAACTATTCTTCTTCACCATTATCTATAACTATTTCTCTTTATCATTATCTATAACTATTCTTCTTTACCATTAACTATAACTATTTTTTTTAAAAATCGTCTACAAAACTATTCTGTTCAAGAAAAAAATTAAGACAGTATTGTGTTAGTTGTAACCTATATCATATACACCCACATAGTAGCAAATTCCATCGCAGCTTATAAAAACGTGGGCAGATAAAAAAGACACGTGTGTACGTAGGCCTATATTGCCATATGATTACCGAAAATGAATACACTCTCATAGCAGTCAATTCCATTGCGGCACTGACTGATAAATTACAATGTGGGATTCACAAATATATATCAAAAAATCACAAAATGGGTGCGAAGAAAACAAGTGTATACGCCCACAAATTAACAAATTAGCTTTGGTTATAATATTATGTTTATTAAAAACGGGTCCCAAAAAACATGCTTTGATTGGTTGAACTTTTAACCGAACTGACGTAGAAAAACATTGAAAGACAAATGCTTTTGGAAGTACTTACTTTCCGTAAATCTGTTTTCTGCATAAGTAATCTGTAGTATATAACTTATCTATTCTAAACCTCTTTTGGATGACTTTCAATTCTCAGAATGTCTGTCAAAACCAAAATTTCGCCGTCACAAACATTCATATCACTATCAATTGAAATAGAATATAATGAACTGAGATTTAACGTCATGCTTATCAATTAACAAAAGTGTTTATCTTGCTATCAAGCCGGGTTTCGGAAATAAAATCTTTTTGGTTGGTTTGGAATTAAAAAAAATGGTTAATATATGAATTAAATATGATCTAATTGACTTATCTTTTTATCTAATACCCATTTATTCAATACATACTTATACACTTTGGTGTTTCCTAAAACAAACAAGTGTAGTATTTAATAAACTAAGTTTACTTTTGGACAATCGTAGATGGTGGGGGATTTCTTTGTAGTCGGTGCAGTAGTACAAATCAAGTATCCATGATTTGTTTTAAAGTTTATAAATGCATTTACATTCAATTGAATAATGGGTAAATTCGACATGCGAAGACAGTAGATATGAAATAAACACCCCCCCCCCCCCCTCCCTACATTATTCAGGCTTATGAGTAAGTAAGTTATACAAATATAAACATGAGCCGACATTATGTCTTCAAAATCTGTTTTATTTTCAATTTTCACCAAAATATGGGACGTTCTTTTTTGGTTAAAATTTCTGGGAGGGAAATGTGTTTCTATATATTTTTATCAACGCAAAGACATTCTAAGACTATTTTGAGATTGCTTTTTCAATTTTCTTAAAACATACAGAAAAAAAAACGTTTGCTTGGCTCAGACAATAGACTCGAAATGGCAATAGATCAATTGCTGCCAACAATTAATTTAGATACACACATCCTAATAATCCTAACTTTGAGTGAATAAATCAATAATTGGATGAACGAAAAACGATCGAATGAATGAAATGATGGTATGAATGAAATGACAAAAATTAAACATGCTTCGGACTATCTACGAAGTGCAGAATGTTTCGGACAATATTTTTATGAAATTGAAAATATTACTGAATATGACATAATATTGAATGAATGCGAAATTAGGACAAAAATACTTCCAGGTGAATGTATCATAATAAGTTAAGAATTATTCTAATTAGCCTACCTTTATTAAATCTGTTTTTATAGCGAATAATACACAGAAATCTATGATAAAATTCACATCATCTAAATCACCCAGCACGTGCAGTTTGCAATTCGCATGTGGTCAAAGTTTAATATTATTGTAGTCCGTAGTCAAGACTTATAATATGTGCTAAAATATCATTTACTTAAATTATATTATATTACTTAAAACTACTTTTTAAAAAAAAGAAGTTTAAAAATATATGTTAATAAAGATTTTTCCAGCCGTTTCTGGCGAATTATCAAAGACTAATACTCGAACAGCTTTTTTCATGTGATCAATTTCGAGTTTGAATATTGAATGTAAGGTTTGGCTTCTCGGACTATCAAAAAACAACACTGTTGTACTACTGTTTTAATGAAATTAGAAATAAAACGTCAACCCATTGAATGAATAAATTCAAATGTAACAATATCAATGTAACATTCCCCCCAGATGTTAACACAAAAACTTCACTGAAATCAAAGTCGAATCGAAATAAACAGGGGCGTATCGGTATGTAAACGTTGGCTGAAGCCGTCGGTAAAACCGATTGTTTAACCAAAAAAGTGAAAACCTTTTGTCCATTAAAATGTGTTTATCGTTACAAACGTTTCAGTTGTAAAAATGGCTGGGTTATCTCCCTTGAAACGTTCAGCTTGAGTAATAGTTTTTTTGTTTTTTTTTGATTCAATTTCCCATTCGATTTGTAATTCGATTATTTTGAAAGGAATTTATTTAAAAGTAAACTGTTTCCACTTCAGTCAAAATGACCCCAAAGGTGCGCAAATGTCTCGAATGTTGAAATGGATTTTGATTTACAAGGAGCACAATTACATCAGGATTTGTTTACAACGCAAGTGTATTCGGTCAACTTGACGACTTAATATAATATATATATTACTGATTATAACATCTAATGAAAAGAAATTCGTTTTTATCGTATCGATAATCCCACATACAACATAAAAACTGCAAACTTTAACCTATCAATATTGGTTGAATAGTTCTCGCTTGGAATCCTCACAAGAATCCTCTCTGTATGTGAATATAAGGTCAAATGTTATGTGTTTTGGTGACAGTGGCTAATTATGCAGGCCATAATCGAGGTCAATACTATTTATTGTAGTTTATACATATTAGAAAACAAAACTTTAAGGAACACATTAAGTACAAGTTTGGTGTGAATGAGTATTACCCACATACATACATAACCAAATTTTCACGGGTCATTAAACGTATGATTATGATGAAATACCGAGTTGATTTTAAGAGCTTTGAAAACATACTGGCTTAGCAATGAATAGAAAATAAGTTTTGGTGCATTGAGATCATATAGAATTCCATTTTGTTTTCTTCATTTCCTCAAATGAGTGGTCTACTTATTCCAGTTAACTCTCATTGACAGTGACACTTCAGATAAGTTTCTAATTTTCTCTTAATCAATTGGTGATGAGTTGAGATGAAGTTTCCAGTCTGTCTTTATGGAGTTGAGGAGACAAATTAGAGCTTAATATCAACTCGTCTTTCACCTAATTCTTCTCTTATTTAATTATTTATTCCAATTCTGTATGTCCATATAAATATTATTTTTATCTCCGAAAACTATTATACATTATGTGGCCTTAAGTTTAATTTTATCAGAATTGTCTTCGTTACGAGGCATGATATGAATCGATTGCTGAAGTGTAATGATAGTTTCTTTCGTCAAACGTGAATCACAATGCGAATAAACGAAATAACAGTGGCTATTGTGGTCAATGAACAGCTTCTTTGGTGTGGGATACTGTGTAACATAAGCGATGCAGAAGAAAATACATATCTATTTGCACTGGAATAATCGTAAAACTTTGTTCCGCTGGCAAAAATTATATTTATATCTATATATTGTTATTTTTATGGAACTAACTGAAGTTCGGTCAGTTGAAATTGAAAACGTTAGATTCTTGACTTCATTTGACAAATTAACTATGTATTAATCTTGACGGGTGTGCGTAAGACTTTGGATCTTGAATGAAACCTTCTTGACCAAATCAAAGTCGATGCATGAATTAAAAGGGATTTTTTGTCTATCTTAAACACATAACAGAGGTTTGCAACATTCCAACTTTCAGTCAGACACTTGTGGGTCTTGCAATACCCACTAAACCATGTATGGTTAAGCATTGAAATAAAACACAAGTGTTATATCTGAATAATGTTATATATCATTACGATCTGTTTTGATATGAAATGAATTTTATGAAACTTATAAAAACTTTAAAAATATAGACAACACGTTTTTCAATAACATTACAACTGCCTTTATCATTTTTGGAAAGACTATAGATTTCTAAATTTCTAAAATAGTTTTCTAAATTGTGAAATTAATTATATATTCAATAAAATTTCTGTGAAATTAATTATGTTTCAATATGATTTTTGTGAAATAATCTTGTATCAATACGATCTCAGTGAAATTTAATTCAGAGTTATTCCCCTTAATGTAACCCACATAACACCTTGTGAACTTGTCATTACTAGTTGTGTTAAACGATATCTGGGAAATTTCAATATGATAAAAACAGAAAATCAATGAAAATTTTAATTTCGAAAACAATGTTAAAGCTGAAAAATGTGAGAAATTTGATTTTTTAACTTTATGCATACAAATAAATATCAAGAACATTGTAAATTGAAACGTCACCTTGTAATATCTACATTTACCACAAATCCAACTATAACAGATGCAAACAAACAATTGTCAACTGTAGTTTAATTATTACCAAAACAGTTAAGAGAGGGACTATTTTCACGTTAATATTCAATTCAACTTCCAAGATTCGTTTCTAATGTGTGACTCATATCATGCTAACAGTCTCAGAAAACATGATACCAATATATAGAGATATTAAAATAGCTTTTACTGTTTATTTTGGTATAACCACTTGGTTTAATGGGAATATACTAATCTGTGTTTTACAAAAGAAGCAGTTTTATAAATATCCAAATTTAACTTCGATTGGCCATTGATATAACTGTTAACCTTTTTCCGATACCACCATTCTAAACAGTCATAAGCCAACGGTTCGAATTCATAATGGAATTTATTTGCAAATAGCTGTGGTGCTTTTGTAAGCATTGGTAAATCTGCCATACCCAAAATACAGATGTCGCGCACAAATTTTCTGCTACCACATTGTCTCTTACTGTCAGTCCATATTTTATATCTGTTAAATCCAATACGATCAACATCTTCGATTTCACCTGCAAAACAAATTTCCGAAATAACAAGCTATGATTAAACCGTTAATTTATGATAACTATAAGGACATCAAAAAAGAAAGTTTACAATTATATAGCACAAACTAAAAATACCATCTTTCCTGCAGTGAATTCAAAATTGAATTTTTTTTCTCATGACAAATATTCCAAATATTTTTTTTTAAAATTGCATGCCATTAGTCTTGGAAAATCTTCTGAGTACACAGAAATTTACAATTTTGAGACTTTTAACATTCATAATAAACAAACTTCCCTTCAAGAAATTTGCTCCTTATCGGACTGCAATTATCGTCTGTAAATTCATATTTGTAAATAACAATTTGTTCATTGATTGGCATTTTCATTACCACTAAGACACGTTAATAATCTCAGTAGTATTTTGGAGTTGATATTTCAATTCATATAAAAGGTACTGTATTGGCAATTTTCTGTGTATTTTAGCTTCTCTGATTATGAAGACTGCTTACCAGTATAAGAGCCAGGAGCTTTTAAATGAGGATTATTATTTAATGATGTGAAATAACTTTCATCGGGAAATTCCATAGTTTTACACCACTGTAAAAATTCTCTTGCTACCTGGTTCAATAAGACATAGCGAACGAACGATCGTGATGCTGTCATATGAACAGAACCTTTACAGACCGAGATGCCATAAGGGGGTGGGAGTTCGGAGTTTATTCGATATTCATGTGTGTTCATCCTGAAATGAAATTAAACAAGAATTTTACGTTCTACGTTTCTGCACCTGTTTTGCTATATGAAAACGGGCAATGTCGTGTAGTGTGCCATGATAAAAATTACCATCCGTCGAGGGAGCAATTTACGTACACAACCTGTAACACATGGTGCCTCGGTTTACTCTCCCTTTCGAACGATTAAAAGCTTCGACTTGCATCACTGACTAACGGATTAAACGAGCGAGGTTAGCGAGCAAATCAACTTTGATATTTACATTAAAGGGCGATAAAATCAAAATTGGAAGTATCTGCCATCCTGTCGAAAACGCAACCCGGTCAAAGAAAATAATACTTAAGCGATATATAGGGAAGGAGGTCGCATTAATTGATTATAATATCCTTATTGTAATTCTATTTGAAGAATACTCACAAGCTTACACTACCATAGATATCATTAGCTCCTTGATATGATTTTAATATCTGTACTAATTCATAATTAGTCTTTAAAGGAAATTCTTGGCCTGTGAGGTTGATATAATAGCGCCATTTGGTTTTATGCATGTACAATTCCCTTTGACACACTATTTCTGGCTCTAAAACTGTGAATTGTCCCCATTCGACTGCGATTCGTCTTGAAGCGATCCAAACATTAGGTAGACAAGACACAATGGATTTTAGCTCATTATAAAATTTTGGGAACGACTTAGCGTCTATATGTATACAATATACATTGTGAGGTCTATATATGGCTCTGAGCAGTCTTTCAACTTGATCCACATCCTTATAGACCAGTATTCCAAATGCTATGGGAAAATCTTGCTCTTCTTGTGTACTGCTCTCCATAATGTATCCCATACTTGAAATAAATGTATCGCAGTCTTTAGACAAGTTAGAATAAAACTCAAAAGGTAATGTTCTTCTTCTTATTCTCAAATTATTTACATAGTCCGCCCGATTCTTAGATAGCCTTGTCTTGCATACTTGTTCAAAGTTTAACTTAAAGTTATTGTTGAACGGTTCAATCCTGAAAGAACCTTGTCCCAAGGAAGTGCGTTTCAGTGTTGGTCTGTTATATATTTTCCATTGCTGGTAGAGCGTGTCGTTTGTTCCACAAATCAGTGTCAACACCAAAACAGCAGCAATTAAAAATATAAATTTGAAAAGCTGAACGGTAATCATCTGTTCCCATGGCGTAGGTTGCTCAGATTGACAGGTCAGCTCAATCCAGAATCTACCAAACAAGACACCAATAAAAGAAATAAATTCGATTAAAATGAAAAATTGGAAAACCTCTTTCGTGTTATTTTATAAAATATGTCATTTGAAATCTGAAATATGTCCATACGGAGATGACACCTAAATGGAATGTTTTAAAAAATCGCCACAAGACTTTTTGTAGTCGAGTTAGATTCACATCCAAGGACGATTCGCAACGTGCAGTCGTTTTAATTTTTAGATAGATGAACAAACAATTACTATTTATTCTACTTGTTTGTGCTCTACTTTAGGAATGCGGTACATTTATATAAAAAGAACTAACCGTTTTAATAAGTTGCAGAACAGCATGTTTAAATTCCGATTACTTTATTAATGGATAGTTCTAAAAAAAACATTTAAGATAAGATATTACTTATTATCATAAAATTGATTCCTCATTCATCAATATAACACAAAAACACTAAAAATGCAAACAGCTGATGCTTCACTGGTCACGCGGGTGGCAGTTTAATCGAACAGTCTGATCTCGTTGGTATTGTGGGTTAATAGATTGATCGAATTGGATCGCTTCAATTCAGACAGTTGCCGAATACAACTGGATTCTAAAAGATTATTAGCAGTAGATGGAATTGTCATAAACTGAATAATTGTCATAAACTGAATACTCGCTTAACTAAGTACCTGACCAAACTGACGACGTTGACGCTAACTGTCGGCACCCTCATACCGACTTGATACAATGAAAGCGCCGAGCACTCGGGCGGTCTTGGTCAAAGATTTTTGTCGCCGATTAGAGTTTAGAGTAAAATCTCGCGAGGGGCCATGCTTCCATTTCCTTTCAATTGCATGATCCGCACGTGATTATCAACCTGGTGGTGCCAGTCGGTGAAACTCTTGACAAGAGTCGGCAACAAAAATCTCCCAAGATCGTTCGTGTGCCCGCACCTTTAGCGGACGTAGCACAACGACTGACAAATCGCTATCACGTTGCTGTATTCTACCTGCAGCATAAATCAGATCTTGGCGCCTAAATTACGGAATGGGTTATCTGATACGAAGAATCGAAGCGAAGTCCTATGCCCTTCAAATATATTCAACAATACTGGTGGCAATCTACATAGCAATTAAAAAGTTTGATTACTTTAATAACCCATTATTCAAACAATACTTCTTGAGCGTAACAATGCGGTATATCTGCACTTCAACTCTTTAATACAATACATTCGTGTGCTTGTCCTTCAATAAACTGATTACTACGATCAAACGTTGTCATAGACTTCATTAAATAATTCATAGCATTGATTTCCGGCGAACCTTTTCCTTTACTCTTCATATAACTGCAATAGAAACTTTATTAGAGACCTCTCAAGGGAATAATCCAAAACGTTCTCTTAATGAAGACTCTTCTCCTAGAACATCATTTGATCAAAATAAAAAACAGAGCTATTTCAATTAAATTTTCTTTCTTGTTGTGACTGAATGAAAAATTTATTTATTGTTTCATTGCATTGCATACATTTATGCACATTGAACAATATCAATTAACAAAAACAGATACATACTGAATCAATATCCATGGATACTGCACAAAAGCAATATACGTATACAAACAGTTATCATTTTACCACCAGCACAGTCAACACCCAACAAAGTGTGCTACCTCCATACAACATGCATTTTGACAATGCAAAGTTTGACTGCACCCTTGCTACCACGATACCATAATTGTGTCGTAATGATTGTGGTGTATGTAAGGCAATTTAGGTATTCCCATTAATATCATTAGAGAGAGCAAAGAAATGATTTTTATTTTTTAAAAATGCAGTCCAATTTTCAAAACTAATTGCGAAAAAAATATTGTCACATACTGCCACTTTAAGTAAGTAAATATTGATTTTCTAATCTAATTAGAAGTCGATATTCAAAAAATTGTGACTTGGCCTACAGCTGTCCAGGGCCGTTTTATTTACTGACCACGAAATAGAAAGTGACTAGCATAATCTTACAAAACGTTCAATATGTATCAATAGTTCATTTTTTTGTAATCGGGATCAAAGCCTAGACTCCTAGGCTAGCGTGCAATTGCCAATTTTGTATCTTTTACTACTAATTCAAAGTTTACCCTTTAACCTTTAAGAACACATTCGTACCTCAAAAATAAGATATTGTTTATAATGGAAACACATGTCATTGATTCTTTGAAAAAAATTAGTCTGAAAGAAATATTTTCTAGACGCTAATTTAATAGTCACCAATATAATGTAATCTAAAGATCTAAAAGGCATCAAACGCGTTTAGAAACATCTATATTTTATGGTTCAGAAACCAATTATCATAATCATTCCGCCATGCTGTTGTCCAAACTAACAAACTAAGATATCGAGGTAATGAATAACAGAGTGACATCTGACATTATATTTGATAAACCCATCATGGTCGAGTTCATCTCTCGGATCAACACCAGAGTTTACCAAATTACTATTATTAAAACTATGTCCACCAAATACGCCTACAACGGCTAATTTCACTTATTAAACTTTGTGTGAATCTGTAGATAAGTAAATAGTGCAAATTTTGAACACGACGTTTCTGTTTAAGTTGTATTTAGTCTGTTTGTCCAAAACTGGCTTGTGAACGCAGAATAGGATACCGTTTTGATAAACATATGTATAATGATATCACAGATTTTATTTTTACCCTAGATAAGTAGAAATGTGTCAATATATCTAATGTGATTAGATTTTGAAGAAATAGCATTTTTGGAAACTCACACCAGTTTGTCTTTGGAAGTTTGTTGAACGGTGTGCTTTGATTTGTCAAAGAATGTAAAAGTATAGAGAATTCAGTTAAATTGCGAATTTGGTGAATCAGTGAAAGATCTTAAGAAGCATTGCCCTTGCTTAAATTTTTGAATAGCATTTTACAAATTTTTACAAACTAATGCAAATTTGTTATTTGAAACAAAAACTTAAAGCTACCACAAAATATGCTACCATGTGCCAGCGTACTTCAACTATGAAATCGACTGTAAGCTTTATAGACACAAGAATATTTCAGTATTCGAACGGGCTTGATACACTTTTGTTATTATATACCGTTTAAAACAGTTGGAAATTCACCAATGATTACAGAGAGTAGTGAACGGATTGTCAAATGGTTACAAAAGTAAACTTTATCTGATTAGTGATGAATCTTTATTAAGCTGTAATCAAAGACAGAGCAATTTGTGTAAAAACAACAAAGAGGTCACCAATGATGAAGTGGTCACTAGGCTATCAATTCAACATATATATCAATTGCATATTTATAAATGAACAATTAACAAAAGATATTGGTCCATAACCACGAATTTCATTATTTACAATCGAAATTCTTAACATTATATGCTAAAATGAAAGAAATTCTTGTTTATGAAGTATCAGACATTTTCACAATTTTTGACCCTTTACAATGAGTTTCCATAATGTCTTCATACATTGTGAAAACAAACTCGGGCAGCCATGAATGTCCGCTTTCCACATATTTTAGTGAGTGTTTATGGCATAGATTTGTGAAAATAACAACACCCAGTTCATGACCAGTCTTCGCTCTTGCTAACTGCATCACTAGGACTGTTGCGGTCACTACCACGTAAGGTCACTGACGACTAATTGGCCTTCATTAAAAGTAATAAAACGACGACTTTCATGTGGTTCACATAAAAATAATAATGAGGTATCTATCATTCCGAAGTATTTTTACAAAGGCGTTTGGTCCAAAATCTTTGCTGCAGCCTTTCCAGCAATTTCAAAGATGTAGAGAGAAATATCGAGGAACTTTTGTCGTCCGATAACACTCATAAAGGATTCTCTGCATATTCAAATCAATTGACGTCGATTATGCTATCCTCGTACTGAATCTAAACACGTATCGTTTTTTTCTACAGCTTATTCAGTGATTAAATAAATAAATATTGACTTATAAAAACAATATTCCATAAATTGCCAGACAACTATTTCTTTTAGTGCATAACTGTAATTGAAATGAATTTCTGCTTCAGATTTAAATACCATGATCTATGGCTTTTCTACATCGCACGAAATGCATTTCCCATTACTAGACCATCTTGCTTCTGCAGGGAAACATAAACTATTCGTTTTCTATTTTAACTTTATTTGTGATCATTATAATCTCTTTTATTCTCATCGAATATGCTCTTATCGTGAACAGCAGATCCATAATATAGTTCTTTAGGTGATATTCACCAACATTAAAGTCAACGATAAAAATACATTTCATAAAATAAATATATATCATATGTAATACGCTTCAAGTACTTAACCATCCCATAAATTATTAATCTGAACTAAACTTCCAGAGTCTGAGATATCGGTACGTTCTGAACTCCACGTTTTATTATCTTCACTTGAAGAATTGTCACTGCCTTCGCTTGCCAGTTGCAGGAAAGGACACAGAATGAAAATAGCCACTGCTATGAGAAGAATCACTATTAAGAGAACTGGACGTCTGAACATCGATGGATTACTAGTGTTTGCTGATTTTAATATTTCTTCTCGAACCTCGACATCTACACTATCATCAATCTGAAAGATAGAAAAATGATAAGAATTTTAATTTGCACTTGCATAATAATGTAATATATCGGTTGAATTAAAATCGATATTGACTACCATTATGACAAGAAACATATGTTTGCTGCCTGCTATTCTGGGCAACACATTTCAACTGTGATTTTTCAGTTTTCATTGAGCCCGAGTCGTCTAAATCCATTAATCGATCAGATTCGCAAAGATGTCATTGGAGGAGTCAATGAAATCTCTGGTGCTCATAGATTCTGCCCATGGCAAGGTTGACCTAACGCCACTTTAGGTTCAACATTCGCAGTTTAGAACCTTATAGATTTGTTATCAAATAAATCGCCAACTATGGCTTGAGGAATTAAATATTAAGACACTGGGTTAATATGATTATCTACAACTCCAAAGATATACCCACCAACTCCAATTGCAATGTACAAATAATGGAACGCTGAATTGGTTTAACAAAACGATTTAACCTTATCAATATAAACTATATTTTGAATGAATATAAATCAAGTAATACGGTTCTGAAAAACTCCTGTTTAATTTGCGATCATATGATTTCTTTTCATGAGAATTCTGTAATTTCATCCATCAGATAATATATTGAATATAATATGATGAGATTCTTAAATAAAGACATAATAGGATATTTTAATTTCCTATAAAACTACATCAATTTCTTATTATTACGGATATTATAAGGAAACTGATCTGCGTTTTTATTCATGAAAGTTCTTATACTAATTACTTAGTCTGAAACATAATGATCAAAGCTCGGCGTAAACCGTAAATCAAAGTCGGAAAATGATATGAAAGGAAAGGCAGCTAAAGGTTTAATGAAGACCGGCAATGCCATGCAATTGGGGAGATTTTCCATGGACAACGGCAGTAGCCTGCCTTTATCGATTTCAAACCATCCGGATATCTTTAACGTTCACAGCCTGTTGCGCACGTGGCGTCTTCGTTTTATTGTCCCCCTCGTACGACTTGTCGTTTTTTTCTATGTCTTTCGTGATCAAATGGATATTTACAATTTCCATAAAAGCATGTCGATGATTTGATCTAAGTTTGTGTTATGTGGTGACATGACCCTGCATGGACATAACCATGTCGATACGTGTGTAGACTTATGAACAACATCTGTTTGCAAGAAAGCACAAATAAAGCAAAACCAATTTTGAAATCGTGAAAGAAGGCGTGCTCATGTCAAATGAAACTAGAAATTTCAAAATACTCCCAAATGACGCCACTTTCTCATAGATGTTATTGTCTATCACAAGCTTAAGAAAGATTAACATTTTACAGAAGTCGCCAAGAAGATATACAGAAAACGTAAGTCTCGTCATATGGGAATTTTCCGAACGAAAACCAGTGTTGAGATTAAGCAGACTTTATTAACATTTATGTTAAAAAATGGATTTGAAGGAAGAAAATCGAATGTGTAACTTCCTATATTCTTAATAAGAATATATTAGCAGGTTTCGGACTACTAAATTACCATATAGTAATTTATCATCATTATAGAGGCAGATTTCTCTTTCTTTGTGTAATATCGAAGAAATTATTAAAGAGTAATAGGCTTATTTAATACTAGACATTTTGGAACCAGTCTTTCTTTATACTACTCTTTTATAGACATTATAATATGAGGGAAGCTGTCAAGAAACAGAAAATGTATTGTAGCAGAAAAACACATGAAGAATATGGCACAAATTGATGTCCAATTTGAATACTTTCCAAGGGAGTTCAATGATATCGTTGATACATATGGAGCAGTTTCCCAAAAGTAAATAATGACAAAAAACAGTTGCATCAATAACTATGTATACTCTTCGTAATGGAGACTGAAATAACAAATCCTGTGGTATTAGGTGTTCATGAAGGGTGAGCATGTTCTTCAATTCAGCTCAAAGACATTCTTGTTCTGAGCCGAATGGGTTAACGATGACCCCAAGAAGAGTTTTGTCTACATCATAGTCATGGCCTATCATTCAGTAATAAAAAAAATACTAAAAAGAATATCGAGGTAATGATATTATGCTAAGTCATAAGGCATCGGATATTCCGTCCAAGAGTATCGAAATTTATTTGAAAATCTGTACCGCCTCATTTTCAGCACCTTATGGAACCGTGCACTGTCTGGCATTGTAAAACTGCCGAAGTATCTTGATCACCGAAAGCCTCTGGTAAACGGGGCATCAGTTTATGGTCCTGTTCGAACGACAACCTTTTAGAGATCTTCCTTGCGTTACGACATTGGAAGATTAACCAAATTTAATAATCACCAATCCACTGAAAGATTTTACATCAAAACTTCTAATTATTGCATTCCTTTCAACTGTTAAACCGTCTAATTTAATCTGTCATTCACTGCTTTTATGTGTTTCTTTCATTTTGAAAAACTTTAAGGAAATGACATGAAGCGTAAATAATATCTCTTCAAAATATGACTGTAATATTAGTTCTGTCGACTTTTTACTATAGGAGTTGGCAGTTTCTATTCCATCTTCAAATTACATTAAAAATCATTCAAAAGACTGTTTCCCCAAAGTGCACTTGCCTTATTTGTAATGCAAATGTCGAATATGTTAGTTCCCTGCTGAATTCCGCCGCAGGACTTCTCTTTTAGAAATCGACTATCTCGTTGAGTTTTAATTAGTCTCTTATTGTACATCGCAGCATATCGCTAATATGCTAGTATAATATATGTTATACTGACTTTATAATCTGGTCAGGTTTAGCGGGTTGTTTTATTGGGGAAAAGTGCAAATATTAGCCAAGTATACCATCGTTGGGCACAATTGATATAGTTGTCTACACTTCATAGACAAGTTAACTCTTTTTGAGCAGTTTTAAAGACACGAAGCCTTTGAAAATGATAAAATGAGAAACCCTATGGTATTAATCTGGATAAACTAATGACAATGATTCCTGCTGAACTATCACATCAAGCTCAATACACCACGCATTTGATCTCAGTTGTCACAGTCATTTGACTGGAGAACTCAAAGGAACGAATCAGTATGGAATACAAAACCGAAAGTATTTTGTTGACGATATGGAAGTTCAAGGTCCCTGGTATGACATGTAGAGTAAATTGTTTTTAAATACAGGAACTGAGGTAATAGTAAAACAGCTACAGAACAGAAGGGTACCACAAAGGGTAACGAGGGAAGTTTTAGAGATCATTCACACGTATTTTAATGCTCGATGATTGTCCATAATCTTCTATATCCTTTTCATTGTAAAGATTTTACTGTCCTGTTGGTTCATCTTATAGGCAAGGGTTACCAACGTCGGGTAGTACGAATGTTACCTTGTTTTTTTTTTACCATATTTACATGTGGAATATTACTCATATCGAATCTGCCTAGAATTTAACTATATCACTTTTTTTTTTAAATAGAGCTTTATATGTTCTACCCATGAAACCATGCTGGCACAATTACTGCTTTGATGCTACATACATGTTATATCGTTTTATGCAGGAAAACTTTATCATTTACCACACACTCTTTATAGTTTCTTTTTTATCGCTATTAGCAAGTGATTCCCAATGTTTTAATATTAACAAAGATTCAATCCGTCGAGTTTATATTGTTCCTTCACCAACCTTGCTTCTGAAATCAGAGATGAACTAGTGGATGCAGAAAGAATTTCGTGTTTGCCACGGATAAATCGCATTGTCATTTATTGCCACACTGAATTTACCTACTCATTTCATAGTATAATGGTTTTTTTTTAACTTACTGATAGCGATTGGCAAATATATATATAAGTTGGATTTCTTGTAATTACTTTTGTTTCAAAATACAACAAGATAATTGGGTACAATTCTTGCATCCCTGTTTTGTCTCTTAGCTAATTATTTCGTCTGAGAAATATTAACCAAGGAACAGTCGATCATTTAACTTTTCTTATTAACTAGCTGTCCCAAGGCATCCCCCGGGCTTTCGTATTCCGCTTTAACCTTCACATTAACGAACCACAATTGTTCTTAAGGTTTAACGGACAATGACATCGGCTTATACAGAGTTTCGCATTACTTACCAAAAATAGTTGACCATGAAAGTATTGTTAAGCATTAAAAAGTCAACGTACGTTTCTAACAAAAAGTCCGCTGGCACTGTACGGACAAAGGTTCTTTGAAAGCAACGACCTTGTGTGTACTCCAAAATCCAACACAAGACAGTTCAGTCATATTATTTAAAATTGTTCAATGGTCTGGCGAACTGCAGAATTCATTGCTATTTGCTAATATTGTTTATTTGGTATATTTATCATATAATTATATGATGTCGCTGGATTTGTCTGCTTGAAATCCTTTTATGACAGTCAAATAGATGATGTTGTTTATGTGGTTTATTTTGTTGGATTCCCTCAATAACATTAAGAAAAACAGAAAGTCAATTAATAAACCTAATCACTTTTGTGTCTTCTAAAAGCACCTTTTGCGCTTTTCTGACCCGGAACAATTAAAAATTAGTTTGTTTTATATGATTTCTACATGAGCCAATACTCGGTAGACTTTGAAATTGAAAGAGATCTGAAATTAATTTATCTAAAAAAAAGTTAGAGCGAAATTTGAACTATTTACCAATAATTACAACTGACTCGAGAGTACATTTTCTTCACTTGCATCTGGTTTTGTTGAGGTCGAAGAAAATCCAAATATACGAAATATGCGGATCAAATAGTGTAGGTTCGATGAGCTCAGTCGATGTGTAATCACTACAACTTTTTAAGCGTAACCTGATCTGGCGAACACTTAACATCTGCAAACTTCAGGAACAGCTTCAGGCAAGTGTTTCGAAAACAAACCCATTCAAGAGTGGGAACGTGGGATTTGACCCCTGTGTCTATTTGACTCACTGGTGTATCAACTTCCCTTAAAACTAATTGCTCAGCACGAAATATGCAAAATCTATTTTGCTCGCCTTTTGTTATATTGTATATGGCCAATATTTTTGTGATGATCAAAAAGGGTTTGTAACATACCTCACTGGCTTGAGCCTCAGCTTGTTTATCATATAATTTGATGTCGTTATACAAATTCACTATTGTATCATGTTTATAATATTTATTTTTCACTCCATCATCCGTGTCTTTATCCATTAAAAATGGATCTTTTGGTAATTCTCTTTCCATAGTCATTTTTTAAAGTTGCAAAAGTTCCAACCACCTGAAAAGTACCAAAATAAGTTTCAACTTATCATTATTGATTAAAAATCCCACAATAATAATGGAGCAAAACTATATCTGCTACTGCGACCTAAGAGTCAAAACATAGAAATAAAAAGTCCTCTTCATTTTTAAGTAATTTATTTTTTTTTTGTGTCAAATTAGGCAAACAAATAAATTACTTGGTGTTTCTCATGAATTATTATGTATTTTTAATCATATTACTATGTTCTCATTGCATATATTAACGAATTTAACCGATTATAAATGTCCAAGCATGTACAGTCTGGATAAGCAAAAAGACTTTTTGACCTTTCTTCATCGGTCACTCTTTGGAATTCTGGTGGTAATTCTCTTCTAATTTAGCTAATTATGAATTACTTATGGACATATGAGACAAACTGGTATTTTTATCAAATCTTTAGAACACCTCTACTTTCTATTCATTCACAAGAATTAGCATTTTCATAAATGAAAATAAGGGAACCCATCTTTAAGCAGTAAGGCAAAAAGGTCTAGTTTGTTTATTTTACCATATTCTACAATAAAATACCATGTCCGACCGAAATGTGCAAAGAATACCTTAGTTTTGCTATAACATCCTAGCAATGATTTGTCATATTTTAGATATAGATAATATATAGTTTTGCCTAAGGTTTCATATTGATATGACAGGACTCGTTTAATAGCCCACAACGGCGCTTCGTAACGCTTTCTGAACCACTGAAACCAAGACTGGTTAAAACGAATTCCTCAATTGTACATAATGAAGTTTGAATTATCTGGAGATGTTTTTTCAGACCTTGCGATCAACGATATGAAACATGAAATCCATTATAAGAACATGTTTTTCTGAAAATGGTATTGATGGTTTAGTTAAACGGGCGAGAATATCGTTTTGTCAACGACATGGAACTGTCTGATGTCCTATTACTCGCAGAATAGATTCCATAAAAATAATGAAATACAATACATCATAGTGCCATTTAGAAATAGTTTTGATAGATTTGTCCCCAAACTGTCGAGTTGTAGATTTAAAGTTTGTTTTAAGTAAATTGGACAATTGATCATTGTGATTTATTAGTTAGATAACCGATTTTTGGCATATGACTGGAAGAATTTTTATAAATTCTTTCTGGGTGTTTCTGTCGGCTTTTAAAACAATAATCTCATTTCAGTGAGTTTGCTATAAGATCTAGACATTAACACACAATTCTCAAGGTAGATGTATTTTACATACGTTAATTTGTAGGATGACATAAATTACCAACAATATCAAGCCATCCAATTGATCCAGGTCCTACTATCAAATCGGACTACGAACAACTACATAGTCCGCGATGTCAGCTCCGACTGGATGGTTGCCATCTACCACCCACCCGTGAATTAATCATGTAAAATTGACAGGATGGAATGAAATGATCGTCTTTTTATATAAGACCACTCAACAATTAGTCGAGATACAAAATACTGCCTTGCTTTCTACTTAATTATTCAGAATATTTTGAATCGAATTTTGAAACTTGCTTTGTCGTACGTCGCCTTAATTGAAATAATAAAAATTCCAACATGATGTATGATAATAGTCAAATCCAAAATGCAATATACCTCAACCAAGAAGATAATGCAGGGTTTAATTTCCTTCTGGAATATTTTCTTTCTCGTTTTAACATAACATAATCCACGCTCTTTAAGAGACACCAATCTTGTTTCTTTCCGAGATATCCAAGTAATTTGGTCATGGCAGACAATAATAGAGTTTATCTCTGGAACTGAGCAACAATTTGTCTGCTAGAATGATCATTTATTAAGAAACTCCTCATAAAAACCAAGAAGCAGAAAATCAGGAAGAGATTTCTCTGGACATCGTGGACTATTTCTGATCAATTTTTATTATTAATCAATGATTATTTAGAGATCTGGTCAAGTTTAAAGCCATGAGACTAGATAACTAGACATTAGTCTTCTAGTAATTCTATATAATAATCGTTATATACGTATTGTTATGCCAGTACTTCCAGCTTGAGCATGCCTACTCTTAATTTACAAGGAACGTGTTCCCAACTTATGTGGATTCAAAACAGCATTCCTGGTCGTATTGATTTTGTATTTTCTGATGGTTACGCCATAAACTGGTCAAATTTTTAAAGATATCCTCGCGAAGCAAAGTGACATACACCCACCAGCAACTTTGATTGCAAGTACAATGCATAATAATCTGTACAGTGAGCATGACGGGCGGATGACAATATGCTTCCATACTACGTATGGGCATTAAAAATCAAAGGGATCCATAAAAAAATTGTTGCTTGAAGAGTGAGCAAAAGTTGCACTATATGGCTAATAGAGTTGAAAACGACATTTTGGTGAAAAATTATCAGATCATCCTGAAAATCGATACGGATCATCTTCATAATGACATTGACCTACTACATAAAAATCAACAGAATCTGTAAAGAATTGTAGTCTATAGAGTGAGCACGAGCCAAATGTGGACGGACCGCCAGGGTGATTACTGTGAGCGTATAACAAATCCAAACTATTAACAGTAAACTATTTACATTCAGCCTACATCTTGTAATCAACTAGTGACTGAATAACATTATGAAAGACATTTTGTACCTCTGAGAACACACGGCTTTGTCATCCGTTTCTGTCGTTAATAACCCATAGTGGCGGTCGGGTTCTATCCTACCTCACTGATTTCTGGGTATTTACTTTCAAGCGTGAGTTGTGATTGAACGACTGAGATAAATATACATATAGTCATGTGGGAAATTTATTATGAACTTAATAATAACATGTACACATTACATGTTATGATTTTCTTCAAAATGATGATGATGCTTTTAACGAACAACGTACATTAGCGCCTTAATTTTTTCCAATTTTCAATGAATTTTATGTTAGGAATGGTTAGATTGAATTATGTGCTAAAACATATCCGGTAGCCACAAACTACACACTTTGTCCATTAATGAAATAACACGACTTTGATAACTAAATGGTATTCAGGTTTCCTATAGAGTTGATCAGCGGTTTAAAGTTCATGTCCAAGACAAGTTAACTAACTTTTATGAAATCCCATAGAAAGCTCATATTACAAATGCCAAATACTACATTCCATTCTATCGATTTTGTTGTAATTCAATAAAGACATTAATGCTTTTTAGTGCTTAAAATGTATTTTATTCAAGTCACGACAAATACTTAAATATGACTACTCTCTTCGGTGCTTCATATGAAACACATTGTACTTTTGCTTCAACGATAGCTTGTTAAATTCTGACATAGCAGAAAGCAACCATCACCCTCATGAAATGTTATTATATTATATATATCGATGAGGTGCTATTCGATGTAATGCTACAAAAAGTTCAAATATTATCAAATTCAACAAAGTGACTTAGAATTTATACCGATTGAAAAGAAACAGTCTGCAGAAATGAATTTAGTGATAAAAAGCTTAAAATAAAATATTGTTTCAAAGATTAAGGGCAATAACTCATGTCAAGTATTAATTGATGTTTTATTTGTAAAAGTTCTCATCTTATATTTTTACCAAAACAAATGTTATTTTTGTTGAATACTTATATTGGTTTTGTAAAACCCTGAGGTGAAGCAAGGCCATGTACATAAATTGAGATCTGATTCACTGAACGAAGCAAATTTAGATTTAACATAGTGCACATCTCGACCTATGCCATGGACCTAAAAGTTAACACAAAGGCAGCGCCCATTAGTGTAGCTGTTTCATATTGCTGTCTACTGGTGTTTCACATTCTTTTAAATACATAATGATTATACCAAACTCCCTGTAGTCTCTATCGGATTCAAAATTCGCGTTCAAACCACTAGTTGTGAAAATATCTCGTTTACGGAAGTGTGACAATATGAAAGTCTGCCTTAGTCAACAATTCGTTACAAGAAAAGCGAATACAGTTGTTCTTCCCACGAATGTGTCAATTAATGCCATACTCATTTATTCTTACAGTCACTCGTATGTCAGCCAACTTGTCTATATTCTCTCTAAGTTTCTCATATTAAGTAAAAGACTAACAATGTAAACGTCAAACTAGACAATGTCCAGCTTCAATAACGGTGAAGATTCAGTTGCCTACACGATTCATTCTGTTCCAAATAAACATAACGGCCACGAAAAGTCAGACACAGAAGTACTGCAATATAAGGATAGTTCTTGCAAATTAGAAATAATAGTACTCAACACGGGTATGAAATACGCCCTGATGACAGACAACGCCAAAGAACACTACTAATAGCATGAAGTTCAAGCATGGAATGGTACATGTCGCATCCCATAAAAGTTCATCCCACCAATCGATAAAGACCACCTTTGATATAGAATGACCCTACATTCCAAAGTTACAAATTTCTGTCCGAAGCTGTAGAACGTGGTATAACTCGAAATGGTACCGACAATTCTGACATCCTTAAGATTTTCCCTACAATCAACTGATGCCATCTGGACCATGGTTTTAACCTACACATCAAACTAACAAAAACCTGTACAGATCGACGGCAACATTATACGCACACGACTTCTGCATGTTTCAATTTTTAATTTTCACTTGACATTCTTTCAATTAATGTGTTCTCAATAACTATATCAACTGCATTTACTGAGCTACACTATCACCTACAATCAGTAAATCCAAAGTAAAGTAAACTGTATTGATGAATCAGATACAATTGAAGCTAAATTATCAATTTAATAGTGACAGCAAACAAACTAAGTACGTGTAACCTTACCATAATTATGATTGTCAAATAACACAAACAGCACACTAAACGGCAATTTATCTATCCATATCGGATGTTTTTAGTTGTTGTTAATTTAATATTCTGGTTTTATTTTGTTTCCGATATCAGATAAAATCATCGCACACTAATCACCATCGAACAATGTATATATAATTGGTGGTTAAATGGATTGAATTTTGTTTGACTCAGAG